TTTTTTTTTTTTTTTTTTTTTCCTTTAATGGTAAAGAAAAGTTGACCCATTTACATGGGGTATATAACTACACGGAAAATATTTATTTTTTTTACAATAATGGGAAAGGAGAAGTGAATAAAAAAAAATGGTCATATTGACTAACATTTTTCTCCTTAACTACTTGTACAGTGACGCATCTTATGTGTGTTTTCCCTTCTTCGTTTTTTTTTTTTTTTTTTTTTTTTTAGAGACTTAACCAGGTGTGCTCCCCCCAAGCTCTGCGTTGTAAATTATATTTCTTTTTTTTTATCCCTTTTCACATCGCGACATTGCTTAATCTGTGTCTGCGCTGTTATGTGACCATTTGGTGAACACGGGGTGGTGATACATTTTGAAACATAGCTGGTCTTTCTCCGTTGACTGCACATCAACATGTGACCGCAGGACAACGCTTAGAGGTATACAAAAGGGAGGGTGTTGGTACAAAATATATATTTGCCTTGGTTAAAATACCTTCCCATGTTTATTTTTTTTTAAAAGGGAAGGAATAAATTTATTTTAATAAAACCATGTGCATTGTTCACTGATGATGTGTATGAGGATACTTTCCCTTGTTAGCAGTGTGACTGCTGAAAGGGGGGAACATATATAAGCCACGGGAGCGACATCATCACGCGGTGCATTCCTTACCATCTCCCGCCCAGCGTGAATCCCAATTCGTAGGCATATAGCTGTGCATTGGGCCATCCGTTTAAAACCGAAATGGAAAAAAAAAAAAAAAAAAAATAGGGTTGACGAACAGTGTGTGTGGGGGGGAAGCTATTCATGTACGCACACGCAGTGCCATATGACAACCCCGCCTCATCGTTATGATCCGCCAAGTGGCATGTGCATCAGAGAGACTGCAGTGAACACCTCATCGAGGGAGGGAGAAGTAGGGAATAAGGTGAGGACACTTTTAAGTTCACCCAAAGCTTCGTTGTCAAAGGTAAAAATGACATTGAGCAAATCCATGTTAAAGTAATACGTCCTGTTTTTTAACAACTTGGTAGAGTAGGGATGGAAATGCAAATATTTCTTCATGTGATGAAACATGTTGGGGTTATTGGACATGTACGTGAGGAAGTTGAAATAAATTTGAAAGAGCGAATTGTCTGCAAAGCTGTTTTTCAAATGTTTTTTATATTCTGCAATTTGGGTCTTTTTGTACAAAGTACCTTGGTCCATATTGTGGATACAATCGAGGAAGTGATAAAAATCTACATCGTAGTAGCAGTTGTCTCTGATGTTGTTTTTTACAACCCCGTTGTAGTCTGTTATTGGATCAAATCTGTACTTATTCATTTCTTCAATTTTTTTTGCAATGTTTCTTTCGAGAGAGTGTTCTTGCGCGTGGCTTTTTATATGGGCGTATGGGCGATAATTTTGTACAGGCTGATTTGAATTGAGGCAGGAAGAAGAAGCAGAACGGTACACCTTCATGTGGTAAAGTTCACTGCTCATAATTTCTCCATAATCCTGAAGACGCGTTTGAAGAGAAAAGTAAGGGGCATTTTTATTTGCCCTCATGTCATACATTTCGTTTAGCAATTGGATGGCACTTTTTTTATCAGAAAAATCGTACGAACTCAGTTTTAAAATTCTGTTATAAACACGTAGCTTTAATTCAAACAACAAATCATCTGTGCAACTTTGTGAAAAGGCATTTTCCAAAAACACAATTTTTTTATTCATGTAAATAAAAAATCTGTTGACGAAAATTGTTAAGAATATTCTGTATTTGGATTTGATAAAATAATTATTGTAAAAATAATTCCTCTGTATTTTTTTTATTTTTTTTTTCGAATGGACAGATTTTATTTTGTTCAAAAATGCATCATTTGGATGGGGAGATGAGCAGCCATTCTTCTTTCCATTGATAAGTATTTGCAAGAATAACATGAGGTCATGACATATCTGCAAAGCCCGATTATGATCGTAGAAGTAATTTTGCCCTTGTCTGTCCTCTTCTGTAAAAGGAGAACTATATATGGAGAGAAAATTACATTTGGAGTCAACAAGGAAAAAATTAAAAAAAAATTTCTGGTACGTTCGTATGCTGTCTACCATGTGTTCCCTTTGATTTACATTCATATTAATCCCCATAACATTATGCATTAATTTATTTTCAAAAATGAATTTTATTTTATTTCGTAATTTTATATGGCCAATATAGTACATAGATTTCCCAAGTACATAATAAATGGAGAGGAATCTCTTCGATACGATATTTACACTTTGGAAAATGCCTCGTAGGACTAATGCCCTTCTGTACTTTTCATTCATGATGACATTATTAATATTGTAAAAGGTATTAGAGCATTGTAGTGTCATGACATTTTTCTGTTCGTCGTATTGATACAAGCGAACATAACTTTTTGTGACGATGAGAATTTTATTTTCATACACATGCATGTCGTTTATATTTTCAAAGTTTTCTTCATTTCTGTGATGCTCCACGATTTCGTACTTGAGGGAGTAGAGCAACTCCTTCTCTGCTTGGGTAAAGTATTCCTCGAAAGTGTAACTTTTGAATAGGTCCATGTACTGCTCTTCCTTTTGCTTCATCATGTGGTCCTGCTGCTTGTTTAGGTACTCTCCATGTGTTGAATTCACGTCCAACAGAGTATTTTGCGTTCTTCCATCAGGATTCGATCCTCGGTTGGGAATATTCCCGCGGGTGTTTGTCGTGGTGGTCGCTGCCCCGTCCAATCTGCCCCTACTATTGGTTAAAAACTCTATATACTCTACTTCGCTTAGGCCCTTCTTTCCGCTGGACCTATTCTTTATTACGTACTGATTTCGAAGAAGCTCATTAAACAAGTCGCACAAATTTATTGTTCGACCATCTTGCGTTCGATACAGAAGCGTCTTCTTGTCGTAGGTACAATTCTGCAGGATTTTCTCCATCAGTCCGTTCTTGCTTTGTGCAAATTTTCTATTGCTTTTTGCAAAAACGATTTTCAATAGGACGATGTGATTTTTCTGCGTGAAGATTATGTACTTGTTCTGGAAGGGCTTTACATTTTTCATGCCCCTGGTCATGTAGGTGATGGGGGTGATCGTTGTGTTTTTAATGAAGAAGGGGAGGATGTCTTCTCCCTTGGTCTTTTTGAATACCAGCGCGGTTTTATCTTTGTGCGGGGGTTCCCCCTCGTTCTTTTCCCCCCCGTTAGATGCCCCTCCCTTGGCGGGTCTCTGCTCAAGCCGCACAGCGAGCATATTTTTATACACATGTTTGATGTTGATCCAGAAGGAGACTCCCCTGCGGTAATTCACAAGGAAGACATAATTCATCTGAATTTTCAGAACAAGAAAAAGGTCTCCCTCGTTAAAATTAAACATCCTGTTGACCTTGTCCTTTAATCTGCACAGAATGATTTCCTTATACTGATTGCTGAAGTTGTTGGGGAATACAAAGAGGCAGTCATAACTGTCCTTCTCTTCCTCTTTCAAACTCTCTCTTGTTTCCTTCTTTCCTTTTCTCGTTTTCACCCTTTGAGGAAGTTGTTTCACGGAGTAACATGCCATCCTCAGGCATGCGCGGTATAGCACAAAGAGCGCCATGTGCTCCTTCAAGAGGTATGAGGCAGCTCTCCTAGATGCTAACACAATGAGTTTCCCTTTTCTTTGTCTTGTTCGTCGGTTATGGTGGGTCATTTTGTGAATGCTTCTTCTCCTCACCTTTGTGTACTCCTTTTTATGCGTCTTGTTCCTGCATCCACGGGTGCCTGTCCGGGGTGCGTCGCGCCAACCTGCTTCCCCAACTGCTCGGTCATCCCTGTTTCCCGAGTACTCTGGGGAGTCCGTGCCGATAGGGGCCTTACTGTTAGCGTTCTTCTTGCACACTATTTTGTAATACTCTGTCACGGAGCTAAAGTGGTACTTGCTCCCTTTGAGGTGCATGGCCAGGAAGGTTAGGTGGCAGTCGCGTGCGTTCGAGGATGTGCTCGTGCCAACATTGTCCGCCTCGATGCCCTTCGAAGGCACTTCCCCCAGTAGGCGCATCTTATATATGTTTTCTACCTCTTTGAACAAGCTTACAAATAGCATGCTTGTCACCGTGCTTTGATTTTGAGAAGGCTGCTCGCTGCTACCTTCCTGTGGAGACAGTTCCCCCGATAGGTCCATGGGTCGAAGGTAGCTTAGATATTTCTCTTCCTTCTCTTCCACGTTTTTTAAAAATTCGCCTAGGTTCGTGGCTGGGTCCGGGGTTACGTCGATCTGTTCTGCGGTTGATTCTGCTAGGGGGCTTCCACATGAACTACCGTAATCTACGCACTTGGAGGGACAAACTGGGCCGCCCTTTTGATCCATTTGGACAGTCTCGTTTTTTCCCAATTTGCGCTGTTTTTTTGTGCAAGTGAAGTTTTCCCCGCTGCCCTTTTTTTTCTTCGTTCCACTGCCCTTCGCGTCGCCTGTGCAAATGTCTCTCGAATCCCCTTCGTGGTTTTCCCCCACCTCACCTTTGTACCTACCATTCGCTTCTCCCTTCCCTTTGCCCTTCTTATGACTCGGGTCGAGAAACAAATTTTTGCTAATCACCGCCTGCTTTTTCTGTCCAATCAGTGCCACCAATATGGTGCAAATTCGGTTGACGCAGTTATGCAGCAGTTCCCTCTTCTTCTCCTCGTCCTGCAAAACGTAATTGTCCTTACCTCGCGGGGTACTCCTAACGGTTAGGTCATCAAGAGCAACCTCCCTACTTCCTACCCGGGTAAAAGATATATTTTTGGCTACCCACCTATCTTGAAAAAATGGGTTCAGCTGATGCGTCCTGCTAATAGTGTTGTAGAACAAAAAGGCGTAGAATCTGTTCGCAAAGTTGACACACTGGTTTCGCAGCAGACACAAGATATGCTTGTTCCAAGCAAAGAGGTTTTGGTCCCTTAGGTATAATTGGGTGTATATGGAAAAGGAGTTGGCGGCATTATCATTTGTATTTGCCTCCAAGTCAATGCGGTTGGTGAGAAGCTTCACGGGGAAGCGTCGCGGGGGCAACTCAAGCGGGGGTCGTGCGAGATGGTCCGAAAATGGTGCTTCTGGGCTCTGTCCTGATATCTTCCCTGAGCTGTGCCTCCCTTCATCCTTCCTGTCGCCGCTCCCCTCAATGGCCTCAATAATTTCCCCCTTCTCCGTGCTCGAGCAAATTAGGAACAACTCAGTAAGTATGTATTTTCGATCTAGGTTGATAAGGCACACATCGGACAGGCTGCTACTTTCAAAGGTGTTAATAATGTTCTTGTTCATTTTAAGGCACAGATTGTTACTTCCACAGTGGGTGCCTATTCCTCTTTCTTTGTTTCTTTTTTGTGTGGCAAATTGGTTAGTTTTATTTGGCTCATCTGATGTCGAACATTTCGCGCATTTATTGCATCTCGCGCAATTGGCACAATTGACGGAGAGGTGCTCCTGTTTCCTTGCATTACCACAGCAGTGGCGTGTTGTGAACTTTATAGGGTCGTTATTTCCTCCCCCTTCGGAGCGCTGGCCACACCTGCCCTGTGAGTAGAGAACAAAATTCTTGGTGTAATAATCACAAAGGGGAGACGAACTATCAACCTTTACAAACTTATCAATTGAACCTTCCTCTTTACAATTCTTCCTCTTCTCGAACAGGAGCTGGTCCCTTTGAATTAGTCCAGTGTACATTTTTTGGTTTAGGCTGATAATTATGAGGTAGGGGAAATTCCTGTCTTTGTTTTTAATTAAGACAATGTTATTTGCACTCATTTCATCTTTGACCTTTATTAATCTGTGGTTCATCCATGCGTGGTCCACGTGATTTTTGTTTGTGGTGAAGAGTTCGCGATTTGTACTGCTCGTGGGGTGAGAGGGCATGGCTTCTTTAAGCCTGTCTGCGCAGGGTTCATTTGAGCGCCTAATTGTAGCATCACTGGGCGGGTCGTCCGTTTGGAACGCTTCCATCAAATGGCTCGATTGGTTCGGTACATCCGATGAGCTTAACCCCCCCGCGGCGGGATCAGCTTCATTTTTGTAAATCCGCAGGGGGAGAACAAAAATGTTCCTGCTTGGCATGCGGCCTTCTCCTATTTTCGTGTCCCGCAAGAGGTTGCACACTTTGTCTTTTTCAAGGTTCAGCAGGTTGACAAGGTAGCCGTGCACCCTGGATTTCATTTCGTCCACATAGTTGTGGCCTCGCTTGAGGGCGCAGCCCCCGGGCTCAGACGCGGACGTGGACTCGGTCGCTCCGCCTTCGCTGCGTAGATCGCTCCCATCGTCACGCTCATCGCTACCAAAGACGCCCTGCCACCTGCTTGCCCCTTCCGCCGATTTCATCACTCCCGTTGTTCCCCCCTGCATAACCCTATCCGACACAAACATGAACATGTTGCTTTCGCAAAAGGCCACAGCTCGGCATCTCTTCTGGTAGACAACCCGAGGTGACTGTTCCCACACGTCGTGCCCTTTCAACGGATTCACAAAATAAACAGAATTATTCCCAAGTAAAAACTCATCAAACATGTTTGTCACTGTCTTCTGTTTTTTATAAACTCGACAGTGACGCAAAAAGAGGTCATTCGTTGGGGCGTTGCTTGAGTGGAAAATGTCATACGCTTTAACGACTCCCTCATTTGTCCCGAGGAGTAAAAAATTATTCAATTGGATCATCCCAGTGATGGTACAATGGTCGTTTAAGGTGTCTACGGTGTACTCATACATGTGTACCACGAACTGTGTGCTTTTCTGCGGAGGGTTGACCGATTTCGTTATCCCCTCAAATGTATGCAGAGGGTGACACGGTTGAATATTTTCCACCCCGGGGCGTTCCATCTCAACACTTCTTCCCTTTAAAATGCGCGCATGTGTTTTTATGTTTTTTTTCGCCTTCTCTTGGGAGGGCACATCGTCTATGAAGTTTATCGAGGGTGATGCTTCATTCAAGGGGGACGCACAACTGTGACTGACGTAGTAGGTGACCACTCTGCATCGCCTCTGTAATCCTATGCAAAGCAAAATGTACTTGTACTTATTTACAGGCTTGTTGGAGGAAACTCCTTTTTTGTCTTCTTTGGCGATAATATAAATGGAGTGTATTCTTTCCTTACACATAATACGATCGATCAGCAAGCACACACTATTCACACCGTCCAGGTAAAACAAATCAACGGTTCCAGTTACGTATGATAAGGCCAGGATTCCCTTATTAAAATGGCAGTGGACCACTGTGGGGGAGGTCAGACCCCACGAAGATGCATTCACAAGTTGTAGAGGGGTACCACTGAGAGGGTCCACATAATAATCATTTATAATGATGCTATTTTTACTTATCACAAGGACGTAAAAATTGCTTCCTCCATTTTGACCTATACATTTTGCATATATAACTTTTTCTTTCGTAAGATTTAGTGATTCTAATTGTTCTTCTTGAATCATTTCAAATGTTTCTTTTTTCTTCATGTCGTTTTGTTGATTCATTCTTTTATTAGGGCAGTTTGTCCCCTGCGAATGAGTCTTCGCGGAGGCCCTCCCTGGCATGGTAAAGGTGTTTGCTTCCATGGGCGACTTTTTTTTTTCCACGCTCAGAAGAGAGAGAGCATTTTGGAAGGCCCCGAATAGGTCTCCCTTGCATCGGACGTAGAAATAGGAGGTCTTCAAGTAGCTCGTCATGCAGAGAATGCTCAGTTGGTTGTTGAAGCGTATCATGAAGGTGTGAGTGCTGGTGTGATTCTCGAGGGGAACAATGGTTTGATTGCTCCTCGCCAGGAGCACCTTGTAGCCGAGGGTCAACTTGTGCAGGTCTCTATGCTTGTCCAGGATAAGTAACGCATCTGACATTTTTTTTTTCAACCTCTTCACACTCAATATGTGGTGGTCCTCCTCCATGTCTGCCCGAAGTGGAGACTTGTCTCTCCGCAGCGCAGACTCATTTCCCCTCATCTGTGCCGTGCCTTTGCACACATTGGCAATCTTTTTCAATTCATCCGTAAGGCTGGACCTGCTCTGCATATTTTGCAAATGACTAACGACCGCCTTTTCCTTGTACTTGTAATCCTTCACCGATTTGATCCTCTCATAAGTGTAGTATGGCTTCTGTACATTTTTAAAAATATACTTAATCTGCTGCTGATGTGAAACACGATAAACGCACGACTTTATTATGAACAGTTGGTCCGCCTGTTCTTCACTTAGAGAAAGGACAAAGCTTGTGCTTTCATCCATCGTGACACTCGGTTTGGACGGAGACACAGAGGTATTCCCCACGGAGCTTATACACCACATCCCTTTTGACGATGCAATTATATTCTTAAAGTGGTTACTCTCCTGTCCTTGCGTAGATGGGCTCCCTCTTCCGAATAAAGTTCTTTTTATGAACATTTGACATTGTACCATATCGAATAGCAAAATAATGACACACATTTTCTTCTCTCGGAGATCAACTGAGAGATACCTTTTAACGAAGGGGTTCCCCGCAGGATGGATCTTCCTAGGATAGTTGCTTCCTAATGACACAATGAGAGCATTCGATAAGGCATCATCCTCCTCTGGAGCAGGATTTTTTTCGTCCCATTTTACCTTCCCAATACTGTCTGCATCGTTTTCGTTGTTAAGGTAGCAGCGGGATGATTCTGTTTTCCTTTTGTGCATCTTTTTTGGCGGGATAGTATCCCTCCTCTCCTCGGTTTCTCTTCCCCTACGGGTTGCTGCTCCGCTACTTGTTGCGATCCTCTCATTTGGATCATCCCCCTGGGGGTTGGTGAAAAAGGCGTTCTTCCTTCTCTTGTATATTTCGTTGAATGTGCTTTTGCTGATTTGAAGCGAGACGGGGGTGGGGTGCACACTCGGCGAGCTTACACCTCTCGGTGGTTGCAGCTGTAGTGATGGCTCTGTTTTCCCGCGCGAGAGCCGCGCATTAACACGGTCACTCCTGCCATACGTAGAGCTTCCTTTCACAGTGGACACCTCCCCAACTATGGTAATCGCGGTGTTCATATCTGCGCAAATGCAATTATTCATGCGGGCAGCGCCCGATCCACTGGCACACATATATTGGAAAACCTTAAAGTCATAGTGGTACACAAAGGCGTACGTGTAAAAGGTGTCAATATAGGGGACACTGCGCAGTGAGTGAAATTGAGTTGCGCTGTTTATGTAGTTGTGTCTTCTTGGGGGGAGCGAGTCTTCCGTTTGTTCACTCCATTCGCTGCGCGGTTTCAAAAGGGGAATCCTTTCTAAGTGTCTGTCCCGATTTCCCTCTCCCTCTGCTCCCCTACCCATGTGCTTTTCCGTGCGCCACCCTCCAACGGCGACACTCGGCCACAAGCGCGGGGGGAAGTTCCGGAGGCACTTCAAACTGATGCATTTAACAAAATAATCAGGACACAAAATGTGACTCTGAATTTCCTCATATACGCCATCCCTTTTAACAATTCTCACGAATCTCATTTTGTCTACAACGAAAACGTCGCTGTTGAGAGCGAGGCGATAATTCACCAGACTAAGGCTCGCTCCGTACGCTGTGGAAAAATGAAAAAACAAAACCATCCCCTTCTTGGCAAATAAAACGAAAGAGGAGCTGTTCATTACCCTTTCCACTTTTTCAACTTCCATGGGGAGATATAATTTGCCCATGGGTATTAAAATATTATTAACAGTGGTATTTTTTCTCTTTCTTCTATTTTTAAAAAATATAATGTTAGCCTGTCCATGGTCGTTCGTAGTTATTAATATGATGTGTGTCTTGCGCTCGATTCTGTGTTCATGGGTGCACCTCCTCTCTAGCTTCTCCTTCGCACGAATCAATTTATCCCTCACTTTTCCGTAATCAAAATTGAATTCCTTCAAACAGGTGACAGATATAAGTTGTAGATTCTGTATTTCAATTATGAGCCTTTTTACAACTTCGCAATGGCGTGTAGAAATTTCACTTGTGGTTTCTCCCTCCGTTGTCTCCACCATGTGGCTACGAGGAGTTGCCACACCTGTTTCCATTCCTGCATTGCTACGTGGTGGTGAATCAATTATGTATTCTCCAATGAGACGATTAAATGTTTGGCACATGGAGAGTAACATCTTATTTGTTATTTTATCTCCGTTGGGTCCTTCCTTCATATTCGTTACATCACACTTATCGCGGTGGGCATGCGCACTAGAGAGGGGATCTGCCTCGGTCGCAATCCTACCCTTTGCCAATTTGCCCACTACAGCATTGGATGAAGAGTTTCCCTCCAAATCGCCACAGGCGTAGTTAATAATATGAACAAGGAAAAGATTCAAAAGGTAAATGTGCATGGCTAACTCGTGCATAATTGAAGGTTTCCCATTTTTCCTCCTCAACAGGATGGTGCAGGAGGAGTCACTCAACGTTTTGCTGCTGGAGTAGAAGAAAAGGGAAAAGTAGACAAGGAGGAGTTTCAACCTGATAGAGAGGCCAAACAGCAGTGCCGTCACTCGCCTCACATCACCTGCATTAAGCGCATCGTTAGTACTACTGGTGACCTCCTCCTGTCCATTACAAAACCCTCCATGCCGACAGAAGAAATCTCTCTCAAATATGTGCTCAAATACGGGGTCCCCTTGGAGAAACTTCATTTTCTCAATATGGTACTGACACAGTGGACATGCCTCAAAACTGTGCCTTTCGGTTTTTCCGCCCTTCAACTTTTTTGTATGACCATAAAGCTGCTTCCATTTAAGAGATGGGTGAAGTAAATAGTTGTTATGACTCATGAATATTTCATCACCTGGGATGTCCTTTCCGTACTTGTTAAGAACATCCCAATCGTTTGATTCAAACATTTTTGTCCTCCACAAATGCTTCATTAGTTTTATCATTGCGCTCTCTTCCCTATCGAGGAGAAATAAAATGTGTCTCACAAAATAAGCGTGTCTGCTTCTGCTTTGTATAAAGTTTATAATAAAACATATTTTTAAATTTGTGCAGTTGGCAAATTCATTGTAGTAGTAGTTCTTCATTGGCACATCTTCATTGGAGGAGTGTTGTCTCCTGATGTGGAGTTCACTGCATGGTTGCTCTTCATCGTGGGGATGAAATGTATGGTGCGTTGGAGCAACTCTTTCATCCCCAAGAGGGGAAGTCATTCCCCTTTCGATCGCTTCATTCGTTTCATCAGACGTGCTCCCTTGGGGGGGAGAAGTAACACAGCTTGATTTTACCAACATGCTCAGTCCCCGCAGATTTCCAAATAACTCCCCATTAGGGGCATTCCCCACAAACGCACCCCCTTCTCCAAATAAGCTCTGAGAACGCATACCATTTAAGCTGCTGATGCTATGCTGCTCGGCATAGGATGGACCACACTGCACATTTGAGTACCCCTCCGTCGTGCACTCCAAGAGCGTTACAAAGGAAACGTTTTTTCTAAAGCGAATGAAAGATGATTCTTTCTTTGGACATTTTTCTATGCGTATTTTGTTCACCTTAATGGGGCACTTGCTTCTGCTTCCCAGGGGGCGCTTCTTCCGTTGGCATCCGTCAGTGGGGGCACCCCCCGTTGCACGTTCGCTTCGAACAGCAGCTCGTTTGCCGCTACCCTGGGCCGGTGCTGCCTTCGGACAACACACACATATCGAGTAGACATGCGCCTTGCAGTCCCGCGAAAAGGAAGACGAAATGTATTTAAACCTTTTCCTTCCATTTCTGTTCCTGTGAATGATATAATGCCTCAGCTGCATAGGGTCGTAAATGATATTAACGTTCCTCTGCTTCGAAATGTATTTTATTCTAAAGTCGTAATTACGACAATAGTTACTTAACTTTTTGTGAATCCAATTAGATTCCTTCACTGTTACAAAAAAAATAACATTTTCTATTGACACTAGAAATACTTTTTTTAATTTGCACACGTGGATGTGCTTGGAATACTCCTGGAAAAACTCATTTTTTTTCTCCCTTCCTTTTAAGGTTGAATACTCTACATATTTTTTCAGTTTGCATGATCTGAAATTTCCAAGGAAGCATGTCTCCACGAAGCTTCCGTCAAATTTTAGGATTCGGAAGTTTAATTTTTCATCTGCGACGAGGAACTGGTCTTGTTGCTTCCCCTCCTGGATCTGTTTCGGCGGTGCAAAATATAGCGGTGTAAAATATAGCCGTGCAAAATGCAGCGGTGCACAGTGTCACGCATGAACAGCGATGACATACACCACGGGGGTAAATACGATGTGCCCCCTCGTTCACCAACGCGCTTTCAAACAAGAAGGGAAATAATCTGGTGGGTCGGGACAACTACGCCTTTGTTGTCCCTTGTGGGGTTCGGGCCAGGGGCTCGAATATACACAAGCTTACCTGAACATGGATGATCTTGAGGAACGTGTTTTGGACACAGATCGTTTCCTTGAAGTCCCCAGTGAGAAGCTCCAGGTAGGAGTCCTGTGTGGTTGCACATTTGGTGGCATGCACATCATGTGTGGGTGAGTGTTTAATTACACAGGTGCACACACATCCTTACGTTTGCATGCCCGCGAATGGACAGGTCGGGGTGTCCCCTCCCCCCACGACCCCTTCGGGACAGCGACGGCGGTCTTACCTTTACGGCCAGGAGAAAGTCCTTTTTGCTGCCCTTGACGAATTTCCCCCGCAGTAGGAAATCCACTCGATTGCTGCTTTGGCATGTTTGTATGCTTAGCATTTCTTGTAAACGGGGCAGGGGTGCGACAAGTATGAATCCCCGTGTGGACGCGGAAGAGGTGGACTGCTGGGACAATGAGAACGCGTTGCCAGACCACACATTGACTCCTGTGCGCTGTTATTCCACGACGTACCACAGAAGGTATGGAAATATAGTAAGTGAGAAGACCTCCTTCGAGTTCCCTTTCTCACGAATTTAAGGTGCAATGGCAACCTTTTTGCTGACTCGGTGAGGTGGGTGGGTCAAACTGAGGTGAACTTATAACTCGCGCAACACGGCGCTCCATAAGCAATCACCTGCAGCGCAAGCAAAATTAGGGAAACACATAACTCCGGATGGAGAAAAATAAGGAAAAGTAGATCACAGCCAAATGACACACAAATAAACAAAAAGTGAAAAAGTTACGGATGGATGGATAAAAAGTGAAAAACGCATTATACTGGTGAACATAAAATTTCACTACTATTAATGGATGTGCTAAATTGATTAAAGCTATTCTGAGAAAAAGAAAAAAAAAAAAAAAAAAACGGGGGCTCCACAGATCATGAGCATTATTTTTACAAGCCCGCCCTTTTTTTTTTTTTTTTTTTTTTTTTTCATCCACATGTGCACATCGACATAAGGTCAAACACACCTGTGTGGTGTGGGGCTCGCTACACATCCCGCAAGCGTCTCAATAAAAAAAAAGGGGCACACCACTGTAATGGCATGTTGTAGATAAAATGGGCAACCCCCCTATCAGTGGTGGTGGGGAAAAATCCCCAGCCAAATGAACATTTTACATGCCGAGGAAAAGGTGGACATACCTCTCCTGTGTGTTACCTCTTCTTCCCAGGAGGGATGTACATCCATGGGAGTCTCCTTTTTGTGAGTAGTCCCTTTAAAGGTGCATGTCATATATATATTGACTTGTGTATATTATTTTTACCGAGGTACATTCTCCAATTTTGGGAATGTCTGCAGGAGGTATGTCCAGCAAATGTGTACCCATAGAAGGGGCCATACTTTTTTTTCCCACCCTTACATGTGGATGTTCCAACTGGGTTGCCTCCCCTCATAATAAGTTTAAAGGAGACCCCCCAAGGGATCTACATATGTCGTGTTGCCAAAGGAAAAGTGGATGGAAAACGGGGAACACACACGTACCACTTGTGATGGAAATGCCGATCGCAATTTTCTCCTCAACCTGTTGATACGGTGTCCTCTTAAATGTAAAAAAAAAAAAAAAAAAAAAAAAAGCAAGATACTGCAAAGTAAAGAGCGCAAAATGGCTGTATACACAGCGTGATGCCATAACCCTCCTTTGGCGATGGATATATGCACCACTGCATGTTAAAAACTTGGGTGTGTAAGGACCCCTCCTGCCCCCCCCCCCCCTGAGGGCACATCCTAGCACTGGTACAATTTTGTGGAGAAGCCCAGGGGAGCAAGTTCAAGTGGATAGGCCACCATCAATTACGTACACCCTTCCGGTAATGTATGCGGCAACCTCGGAGGCGAGAAAAGCTACCAAATTGGCCACCTGCGCAGATAGTAAGAGGACGTGGGGGGAAATTCGTGTGCATATACGTGTCTGCGCATGATTTTGTATAATATATGTATGAACATGTAACTGCGGCGTTTCGCCCCGCCACACGGCTGACTCACCTCTTCCGGCGTCCCCATCCGCCCAGTAGGGATGTGCGCAATAATGTCCTTCTGAGGGGAAAACAATATGAAGCGGTGAAGCGGTGAAGCGGTGGAGCGTCAAAAGGGGGGACAGCACGTTACTGCCATGCACTGATCTCTACCTCCCCCGAGTTACCTTTATCTGGTCGCTCATCTTATCCGTCATGTCGCTAGCAATAAAGCCCGGGGCAACGGCATTGACTGTTACGTTCCTGGAAGCCAGTTCTTTGCACAAACTTTTCGTGAACCCAATGACTCCAGCCTTGGAAGACGCGTAATTAATTTGACCAGCGTTTCCTGTAAGACCAACTATGCTAGATATATTAATGATGCGGCCGTAGCGATTGCTAACCATGCGTTTAGCAATTGGCTGCGTTATATAAAATAAGGAATTCAAATTTGTTCTTAGGACATCTTCCCACTCTTCGCTGCTCATACGAAGAGATATATTATCCCTGGTAACGCCTGCGTTGTTCACAAGGATATCAATGGTCTTGTTTTCTGCCAATAGGTTGTTAATTAATTCTGTTGCTTGGTGCTTGTCTGCTAAGTCCACGGCGTACCCGGAGGACTGACACCCCATAGATTTCAGTTCGTCCACTATATTATCGCACGATTTCTGAGCGACAAGGGGAGAAACAAAAAAAAAGAGAGTCATCATTCGGTAGGACGAAGAAACCGCACATGGCACAGTTGTTCGGAGGTCATTAACATGTCAAATGGGATAGTCCATTTTGTCCACTTGGCATACAGTCCTGCCCCCCTGGTCGCAACTTTTTTTTCTCCGCACGAACCTGCGTTCGACTGACGCACAACACGGTGGACACCGAGCCTGCCAGAGTTTTGGCGATGCTCCTGCCAATTCCTCTCCCCGCGCCCGTAACGAGTGCTACGCGATCATGTCCACAGTGATAGTAGTTTTGCCCCTGATCGCGTGACGCGTGAAGCGCGACATTGCTGGGTGTGCCCCGTTGAGGGGCCATCTAAAGAGGGGGCAAGCGAAAGGGGTGAAATGTGAAGAAATAACAAAGGGCACAAGTAACAATGTGAAGACGTCCCTCTGAGTTACCTGCACACCTCCCCGCGCATGCATGAGTTTGTATCCCCTCAGTAGGCTCACAAGGAGGGAGCACAGGAAACAACAATATAGGGCGATCATTTTAACACACACACACAAAAAAAAGGAGCATACGTGAGAACAACGCTAGGATGACCTTCTTAAATCACCTTATTATCAGTTGCAATGTGGATTGAGTTTTTATATATTTTTTTTCTTTTCGTCTCCTTGGGCAAGAACAATTCTCTCGTTCGCTGCGCTTACGACGATGTGGTTTTGCACAAGGAGTATGACTGAGTGCACATGCGGAATGGAGTGCCTTTTTCTCGCATTACTTTTGTTACTTGGCATGGAGCGTCATGCACCTACATTGTTCCACTAAGTTCGAGGGTTCTACGCAATTATTTCTGCTTCGTTTGGATAATTCGTTGGGAGAATACTCGACGGGGCGCCATGTTTCCAGCAAGTTTTTTTTTTTTTTTTTTTTTTTTTTTTTTTTGTTCATATTTTTTTTTTCCAAATTGTGACAGAAACAGCCATGCCATTTTTTTCTTGCACTTTTGAAAGGACAATATAAAAAAAAATACAACGGGCGTGACAACGTCACAAAAGAAGGGAGACTGCAGGGCAAAACACAAACGGAAGCATATTTGTGTACGCGGACTGTGGAAAATAGTAAAAATGTGCACATCTACAAACGATTATGTGTGCAACTTGTTTGTGATTTTTTCTTGCCCGTTTGGCAAAAGGGTGTTAATAATATGAGGAGCATATTATGCGTACCGCCCTTTTGGGGTTGACGCAGCAGGGCCAGTGGCAGTCTTTTCCATTAAGCTCTTTCGCGAACGACTTCGTTTCGCGGGTGCTTTTCAACTCCGTGTGGAAGTGGACATGCCGGAAAGTTAAAATGTTTTTTTTGTTGTAAGCATAAAATGGCGTACGCGAAGGTTACCCAAGTATGCACACGCAAGTAGTGGGAACGAAAAAAAAAAAAAAAAGGATAAAAGGGCAAAAGTAAGGCGAACCGCAACGTGATGCGCTGCGTGGGCGGCAACTCGAATCGTGCGACACGCACAGACATACACATTGCTCACTTATACCGCTACTAAGCAGCGCGCTACTACGCAGAGCAATACTACACAGAGCGCTGCTACTGATAGGGGGGTTACTCCAGGTCGAGCTGAAGTCCGTAGAGGGAGACGCCCTGTTCCTTGAGCTGCTTGGCGACCTCGTCGATGGAGTAGAAGGAGGCCTTGATTTGAGGCTCCAGCGTCTTTAACTTATTCTCCAAAATTTCAATGGCCATTTCTACGACCTGCTCTGGTGGCATGGAACCAACAGATTCGACCTTAAAATGAAACTTAGTCTCATCATATATTATTTTCACAATATCTTTATAACCCAATTCGTTGAGCAGCTCGATACAACTCTCTGCCATAACGACGGACATATTTTCATTTAGCCTTAAAGACACATCCCCCCTATCATGACCATCCGCATTTTTCAACACGTAGCAGTTCTTGTTCAAGCTGTTGGCTAACAGAAGTTTGTGTTCCATTGAAAGAGAATTGATTAAGTGATGCTTGATGGAAACCTTATGATCAATTCTATAAGACACATTAGCAGGTATCCACTTGGCATGCATTTTTCCAATTCCTTTCGTAGCTATTAACTTCATATGTAAGGTTTGATTTTTCGAAAGGGTAACAATTGGAATGGCATTACTTTCTCCCATGTTATTATTTCTGTCTTCGAAGGGAACTGGCATGGGCACGTTTGGTTCATGCTCTACAGACTCAATGTCAAAATGAGTTACTTCAATTTTACTAACATTGTTGCACTTCACTTGAATGAGGTACTGGATGGTGCACTTGGAACATGTCTCCTTACATTTACATTTTTCCCTGAATTCAAAATTTTTAACATTTGTACTATCAATTGGTATTAACCCTAATCTGTGTGCTAGAAATTCATCATGGAAGGGACTCGTATTTTCGTATACATTCACAACGTCGATGGCGAGGGTTGGAATCTCTGACAACATGATTCTTCGCAGAGCGTTTGCCATCCCTGTGTTGCTGTTGTGCAACACAAATGTCATTTCGTCCTTTGTTAGCTTTGTGATTTCAAGTTCATGCCGCTTTGCGGCATCCTTCGCTACGTGCGCGTTCATTTCCGTGCGAAGAGGGGGAGCGGGGGAATGGTGTACCAAACAAAAAGTACTGCCAAAGCGACAGCGGAGGGGCGGCAAAAAGGGCCGCGACGTGGTAGTTGAAACGGTATACGCCCCCTTAACCACTCAAATGCTTTTCCTACAGCCAAGTGTGGCCTTTTTTCCCCCTACCCCCTTCTGCTATACACGCCTAGCCTCTTTCTTTGTGGCGCCTTCCCCCAGTGCCGGGGTTTTCGAAAAAAAAATTCAAAAATTTAGCCAACTGTAGCCAAATCAAACGATATAAAATAATAATAAAATCATAATAGGGGCGATATGACACTATAAAAATAACCGAGCGCCCCAACGTTGACCTCCACGTACAAGAGAGTCAACCCGGTTGTTAACAAAATTGAGAAGCGGCAGTGTTCCCCGTGTTAAGCGGTCACACCGATAAGGGTAGAGAAAGCGCTGCCCTTTTTTTTTTTTTTTTTTTTTTTTTTTTTTTTTTGCGCGCGCGCAATTCGCCTGTCGTTTTCCACAACGGCGCAGTGCTGTTGCGGGCGTTGTGGGAGTCGCCCACGGGAATTGTCACAAATAATGGGCGGCAAATATGGGCTGTAAAAACAGGCTATTACAATGGAACGTAAACCCTGCACCAAGTGGGCAGAGTATGCTCGCAAAAATAGGGAGCCTCTCCTCCGCGCTGCTACCTCATCAGGCAAAAAAGCACAGTGGTGAAAATTACAGCGGCGCACAGGAAAGGGGGTAGCCTGTGAAGTTCGCGCCGTTGGGTATATTGCAGGGACCAATCGGTATGGAAAAGTAGCACGCAAAAATGCATCCGTTTGTGCGCCTTGTTTGTACAGAAATAAAGATGGGGAGGGGACAACACATATAGGGGTAAGATTGCCGCCGCAGGGCTTCCTCCTCCCCTTGGGTAACGGGGGCGTCACGGCCGAGTGAGTCTAAAGGAGTCGTAGTGCACGGGGCTGGTGTAGGCCAGAAATACGCACTTCTTGTACTCCCCCTCGGTGCGATGCTTGGGCTCGTATTTCAAATGCCAGTTGTCCTCAGTGGACGTGATAATATAAACAACGCAATCGAAGGCATCAGCTGTGGCCTTGATACACAACTCGTCCCCCCAGTAGCCATCCCGAGACATCTTTTCTGTGTACTCGTAAAAAGTTCCCTCTTCAAAATAAATGGAAAATTCATCCTTACAATTCAACATATGTTCCACACACCTTTTCCGTACATACATATGATATTTTTGATCATTGAATAAATTATAAGAAATGGATCGAAAGAGACAGTTGCCATCTCCTACAACTTTAATCAATTCACAGTCCACTGCCAAGAGTCTCTTTTCCAATATTGTTAGACCAGATTTGTAATTTGTTTTGTTTATTTTACTGTTTCTTTTTAAAAAGGAAATTCTTCTGTCGAAGGTGCTATATCGTTTCATTTCTTCTGTCCCTTTAAACTTCTGCATATCAGTCAGAACATATTCTAAACTTTTTATCTTCATATTCATACTTAGTTTTTTTTCCATTTGTTCGTCTCGCTCCAGGCTCTCGGAGATCCTCAGGCGGCTCGCCATGTATCGGTACCGCAAGTCCCGCAGCTTCCCGCCGCAGCAGACATCCATGGTGGGGATGGTATATACCGCACGAGGGGGAAAGGGGGCAGGGACGAGGGTGTCTGGCCGTATCACGATAGACGCAATCGTCACAGACGTGGCGTAGTGGGTCGTACAAGGCACACGTGATTTTATCCCCGAACTACCATCTAATTCACGTGGCACAAACATGCATCCCCTCCTCCCCCCGCTAGCACCCCTTTTGTTTTTTTTTTTTTTTTTACCACATAAGGAAAAATTCATTCATGTGCCTATTCAACTGGTTGGCACAATTCACACAGAGGTGTTATTCCCATTCGGGAAATCAAAACTGATGAAAAAAAAAATATATACATATAATAAAAATAAAATATAAAATGGAAAAACGGATACTTCAATAAGGGCGCATGATGTAAAATTTGTTCACTGTGCGGAAATACCCCCAAATTGGAACAACGGGCCCGTCGCGGGCAAATTTTCTGCACCATGGCGTTAAGCAATGTTGATAGCTGTTAAGCGGCGCCGAGAGGTGCTTCTTTTTTCTTTTTTTTTTTTTAATTCCTCTTTGTCTGCATTTTTCGAGGGCAGGGGTGGAGTTGTTTCTTCCCCGTATGTGCCGCGTTTCCTGTGCAACATTTTTGTGTGCTGCTTTTCTAGCGCGCCAATTTTGAACACCATCGCCCGTCGCGTACACCGTCCCGAACAATCTTCGGATGAGACTCCCCCAATTTTGGAACTCCTCTTTTAGAAGCGCTTTTTAAAATTCCCACTCAGCGGTAATCGCGCTGGACTCGCTTTACATATGCTGGTCCATCCTGCTGCCAGTTCAGTTGGTGAGAGTGACCCTGAAGGAGACGCTTCCCATTTGGTATGCTTTTATCGGTGACTGTGCCCCCCGTGACATGCTCCTTGCGCCGAGCTCCCAAGACAGGATTGAAGCCTTTTATGGTGTATGAATGGGTGACCGTGCAGTGGTGTGGGCGGGCAAGTAAAGTGCACTCAGAGTGGAGCCTTTTAAAGAAACACAACAGTGTTTAACCCATTCTACATGCGCTGCTTTGTGAGTGAAACCACCATGTCAATCAAGCCGCTTGGACAGGGGGAGTGGTGTTGGGGGGTCCCATCAGGAGGGAGCACGTGCCAACCATCTCCACAGCGATAGAGAGGGTGCATTGGAGAGGGGACCCGCGCAGAACCGTTCCCCATAGACGGTGTAGAGAACGCTCCCTGTCTCCCCCGCTCTCGAGACAAAATGAACCCCCGGTCGAGCAGGCTCCTTTTACAGGGGTCCATTTTCTGCGCCTGCGCAGTGTTCTTCGCCTGGAAGGCTAGACACACACCCCTTTTTCGAACAGTAACAAATATCGTAAGAAGATGTCTCCGGTTGAAATGTCAAAACGAAATTGATACAAACGAACAAATTAGGAACAACGTGAAGATCTACTTTGGTAGCCAGGGAGGAACGGCGGAACAGTTTTCTAAAGAACTAAGCGCAAACCTAAGAGACATTTTCAATATAAAAGCAGAGGTAATCGACTTGGAATATTTCAGCAAGGAAGAAATATCAACATTTGGAGTGCGCATATTCATAGTAGCTACTTATGGAGATGGAGAACCCACAGACAATGCATGTGCATTTTTTAAATGGCTGAAAATGTTGAATGACGACAATGAATATTTTAGAAACACCATATATTCTATTATGGGATTAGGAAGCAAACAATATAAGCACTTTAACAAGGTTGCAAAAAAGCTTGCTAACTATCTCACCAAATTTAAGGCAAAACAGATTAGCGAAAATGTGTTTGGGGACGATGATGATAATATATACCAGGACTTTGAAATTTGGAAAAGGGAATTTTTTAAAGAACTTATTAAAGTGCTACATATGAAGGAGGATATTATTCCAGTACAATTTTTTTCAGAAAATGTAGTCGAGTTGGTGGACTGGACAACCCTTCCAGAGATAAATCTGCGCATTCGGTATGTAGAGGAAGTGACAACAGTGGGAGGGGACACTGAAGCGTGCCATGTAGCGGAGGCTGCGTTACCACATGAGGTGCAAAATGTAGAACATGGTGAAAATGAAAAAATAATTTTACCTCACCAAACGACGGACATAACGGGTAAGTTCTACTTTAATCATCACACGGGAAGGGTCATATCGAATGAGAACCTGTTGAAAAATGTGAACAACACTTCTGATGATGATAAGGTTAATCATATAGTTATCGCCGTGGAGAAGGTCTCCTTCAAAGCAGCAGACACTTTTGTTGTGTTAGCGAAAAACCCAGAGCATGTCATCTCCTGGTGGTTGAAGCGGTTAAACATAGACGATACAGATAGGAAAAAGAGATTCACCTTTGTGCCTAGCAACACAACCGACAATTCCTCCGCAGAAATTCCCCAGAGCAGTTCGAATTTGAATACCTCACAAAGCAATTCTCTTCAGGATAACACCCCTGTATGTGTTCCTTTCCCCACGCCATGCACCGTGGAAGACGCACTAGCATACTACTGCGACTTGACGACTATTCCGAGGGTAAACATTTTAAAAAACTTCAAGTGCTTCATTAAAGATGTGGAAGAACTCAAAATGTTTAATTATATCCTTTCCAATAAGCAGAGAAGTACATGCTTAAACATTTGCAAAGAGTCAGATATGACTTTGATTGAATTTGTCGACATATTTATGCCCAAAGCTGAGTTCGAGTTAACCCCATTTTTGCAACTAATTCCAAGAAATGTGCCCAAAAGTTACACCATTTCTTCATCTCCCAAGGAAGCCGAAGACACAATCTCTTTAACCGTTAAAAAGAAACAATACCCTATTCATTCCCTTCGGAAGGCTCTGAAAGGGTTTAAAAATAATGATATGCTTCCTCCCATAAGTGAGCAGAAGTTACGTGAACTTTGCAGCAGGCGATGGTTTAAAGGTTCGTCCTCCTTCTACCTAACGGAGGAATTAGCCCCACATGATAACGTAAAATTTAATTTAAAATCTTCCAAATTCTGTTTGCCTCCCTATTTGGAATCGACCAATATTATCATGATCGCCACTGGAACGGGAATTGCCCCCTTCAAGGCGTTCATAAAGGAATTTAAGCATTTCGACCAAACGTGTGTGCAAAATGGAGTAATCAAGAAGGCCAAGAGAATCCTCTTCTTCGGATGCAGAAAGAGAGAAATAGACTTCCTCTACGAAAAGGAAATTGCGGAAGCTGAGGAGGGGAAACATATCGATCAAGTATTCCTTGCTTTCTCAAGAGATCAACATGAAAAAGTTTATGTGCAGGATTTAATTTTGGACAAGAAGGACCTTGTCTGGAGTTTGATACAAAAGGGGGCCTATATCTATGTTTGTGGCAATAGCAACATGAGCAAAGATGTGAACAAAACGATTAACAGCTTGCCAATGCATTACAAACAAGACAATAAGAAATTTACCAAAATTTTGAAGAAGGCCGGACGGTATGTTGAAGAAATGTGGTGAAACAAGTAGGAAAGATTTTTGTGTATAGAGTTTTGCGCACTCTTCGCGAACAAATGGGGTTCCCTTTTTTTAATGATGGAAAAGTGCCTTCCTAATGGGACTAACAGTGGATCCTTTTTTTGTTGGCCAGTGTCTATTTCGGGTAGTAGAGCTAAGTGTTACCTGTTTTTTTTTTTTTTTTTTTTTTTTTTTTT